CTAGAAACTAAAGAGAGTGCCCATCATTTGGGGAATGGCTGATCAAATTATGCTATATGAATATAATAGAATATTATTGTATGATAAAACATGACAAAAAGGGACGGATTCAGATAAACCTGAAAAGAATTGCATGAGCTGATACAAAGTGATGTGAGCAGAACCAGGGAAATTAATTTATACACAACTTGGAAATATATAAGAACTCTGAATACAGTGACTAGTCATGACTCCAGAAAGATTATGATGGAGCATCCTCATTAGCCAGAGAAATGGTGGATTATTGTAGATGCAGAATGAAATATACATTTTTAGACATGACCAATGTGTACATTTGTTTGCTTGACTATATATATGTATTACAAGGGAGGGATTTTATTTTATTTGTGTGAGGGGGGATTTTCTGACAATGAGGAGGGTATGAAAGTGATGAAAAGAAGAAAGGAAGGAAAAGAGCATATCACAGAAAAGAGCCAAAGTAAATTCAGAAGGGGAGATGGAGAGAGAGTACTTTAAAAAGCCTCAGCTAGAATAGAGACAGTTTCATTAAAAAACTTCTTTTAAAAGTTTTTTCTTTATATATGGAAAGGTTTATGTTTGTTGACTTTGCTTCATTCATCAAAAAACAAAAAAAAGAGAAAAATTTAAATGAAGGATAGGTAGGAAGATGTGGAGGAAGGAATTTCCAGGCACAGAGGACAGTCTGAGTAAACTTGCAGAAATATGAGAGCATCGGTGGAATGAGATGGTGGGGAGGGATTGATAAGACAATTCCTGCCCTCAGGGACTTTGTCAGGAGTTCAGTTGCCCTTAAAGGGTGTTGGAGATGGGTACTGAAGGGGCTGAGTATATTTGTACCTAGGTACTTACTTCAGGGTAGCTAGGGGGCACCCTAGTGCCCAGAGCGCCAGGCCTGGAGTCAAAGGAAGACTCACCTTCATGAATTCAAATCTGGTCTCAGATACTTACTAGTTGTGTGATCCTGGGTAAGTCATTTAACTATATTTACCTCAGTTTCCTCATCTGTAAAATGGGCTACAGAAGGAAATGGCAAACTGCTCCAGTATCTTTGCCCAGAAAACCCCAAATGGGGTCCCGAAGATCTGGACAAGGCTGAAAACTGAAAAGACTAAACAGCCACTTACCTAACTTACTGCCAATGATCACTCAGGATTTTTAACTATTCATGCCTCTGGTCCTCTCTACCATTAGTGAATGTAATCAGGTGTTGACTAAAATGCTTTTAATAATGAGAGTCTTATTTCTCCTTTGGCTCAGAGCTCAGCGGGCCCTCACTACCCCAATTTTACTTTTTTTCCCAGAGGCGTTTTTTGTAATTGATTAAGCCCAGGACTTGGATTGCTTCTGAACTCTCATTAACATTATTTCTTCATCTCAGATGGTCTTGCTCTATGGCAGTCAAAGGATGGCAAGATAATGAAAAACAGAATGGAAAATTAAGATACGGAGTCAATAACCTTTTTGGACCGTAGGCAAGAAAGGAGAACAGCTTCAAGGAAGTCAATTAATTTTAATAGGATTTTAAAGTGTACAAAGCACTTTCCTCACAATAACCCTTCCAGGTAGGTTCTATAAATACTCTTATCCCATTTTATAGATGAGTAAACTGAGGCTTTTGAATTAAAGTAACTTGCCTAACGTTAATAAGTGACCGAGAGGGGATTTTAATACAGTGAAAGTCAGGAAAGAAGATATTACTTTTCCCAAGATCTTGCTGACCTATAACTTATCTCTCATTCCATTTCAGAATTCCTAGGTGGGTCGCTGATTAGCTAAGTACAGAATCTACATCTGTTAAAAGGAAAATATATCCAATCTTTAGTCCTTTCCCTGCGCTATCCCTTTGCATCTTCCTTGCACCCATCCCAAGAAATCCATCTCCCAACAAAAGAAACTCTGATGGTAAGGTAATTTATGTTTTTTTTTCTTCTTTTAACTAAGTTTAAACAAATTGGGAGGTAAGAAAAACAGATGAATTGTTTTTTTTAAAGCATTTTTAAGCATTTCCAGAGGGTTTACTGCACTTAAAAAAAAAGGCATTCAGAACAGAAATTAATGGTCCTAGTGAACAAGAAGCCCCAAGTTTATAATCTGAAGCAATGATAAGTTCACCCTGCCTCATGCTAAAAGCTGTGTCATCTAGATCCGAAAAGTTTACAATAGCAAAGAGGCTTAGGATGCTAGGACATACCTGGCATTTTGTTTGGTTCATAGGCTCAATTCTTTCATTTTGTAGTTTCTCTTTCTTTTTTTTTTATTAATTAATTTATTTTTAGTTTTCAACAACCACTTTTGAGTATTAAATTTTCTCTCCCTCCTTCCCTGCCTCCCTCCCAAAGATGGTATGCAATCTGGTATAGGCTCTACATATACATTCCTATTAAGCATTTTCACATTAGTCATGTTGTAAAGAAGAATTAGAACCAAAAGGAGGAACCACAAGAAAGAGGAAACAAGACAAAACAGAAGAAAAAGAGCAAATAGTGTACTTCGATCTGTATTCAAACTCCATAGTTCTTTCTCTGGATGTGGATAGCATTTTCCATCATGAGACTTTTGGAGATGTCTAAGATCCTTGCATTGCTGAGAAGAGTTAAGTCTATCAAAGTTAGTCATTGTACAACATGGCTATTACTATGTACAACATTCTCCTGGTTCTGCTCATTTCACTCAGTCTGGAAGTCTTTCCAGACTGCTCATCATTTCTTATAGCAAGATAGTATTTCATTACATTCATATACCACAACTTGTTTAGCCATTTTCCAATTGATGGGCATCACCTCAATTTCCAATTCTTTGTCACCACAGAAAGAGCTGCTATAAATATTTTTGTACATGTAGGTCCTTTTCCCATTTTTATGATCTCTTTGGGATACAGTCCTAGAAGTGCTATTGCTGGGTCAAAGAGAATGCACATTTTTATAACCCTTTGGGCAGAGTTCCAAATTGCTCTCTGAAATGGTTGGATCAGTTCACAACTCCACCAACAATGCATTAGTGTTCCAATTTTCCCACATCTTCTCCAACATTTATTTTCTGTTTTTGTCATCTTGGCCAATATGATAGGTGTGATGTGGTACCTCAGAGTTGTTTTGATTTGCATTTCTCTAATCAATAGTGATTTAGAGCATTTTTTCATATGACTATAGATAGCTTTAATTTCTTCATTTGAAAACCATTTTGTAGTTTCTCAATGGAATAAAATCCAAATACATCAAATGAAAGAATAATCAAACATCTGAATTGGAAGTATACTTAGAGGGCATCTCACCTGACTCCTTCCCCCCCATTTTATGAGGGTCTAGAGGTGCTCTGACTGTTTTCTTCCCTCTCCAGCAGCTCTATTCTTCAAACATAATCTCTAGAGAACTAGTTTCTCTGTATGCTCTCTCCCCTTCTTCTCCCCTTCTATGCTCTAACATAGGCAAGACTTGCTTTGTGCAAAACAGGAACAATGGTATTTATCTAACATTGAGAAATTGCTACTAGGTCCAGAGGGGCTGGGGTACTGAACCCATTTCCCATTCCATATCCAGGCATGTAGTTTGGATTGGTTTTAATCCTGGGGGAGCCTGGCCTTTATTGAGAGGGGTTAGGCTCAATCACTGTCTTTGCTTCATTAAACACCACCCAAATATTTGGGGGATGAATTTACTAATAGCTTAAAATGGGGAATATAAACATACTCCATGTACAATACAAATTGAATATAGGACAAATACACACAAAAGAAATTCTGAACATTAAAATAATCCCAGTGCACATTAACAGAATGGCAAAATATGATTCAAAAACTTTAATTACAACTCTTAAAATTTGCTGGGAGGATGATGTCCGCCCCCCCCCCCCCGAACACAAAGCTGTTTGTAGGACTATTAAATAGGCATTTTATTTTTCACTTTGGCTCTGCACTGTCCAAATAACTCTCAGTATGTCTGTTGAGAAAATGGTCAAGTTTGGATTAGTTCTCTTTTTGAGGGCCATTCTCTTTCTATTCAACTCCAACTCAATGAGACCCAAGACCTCTGGAGCTCTCCAACTTACAAGGTCTCCTCCAAGCCTGGAATTTCTATCTCAAGATAGATATTTACTCGCTTAAGGTCAGGAAAGAAAAAACACAAAAGAGAAAACCCACACCCGAATTCAGATTTGCCTCAATAGTGTTTTAGATGCTGTGTGCTCACGGCCACATGGTAACCAGGGTGGGATTAATGAATCATTTCTTTTCGGTTCCCTTTCAGGAAGCAGTTCAGAAAAAAGTCATGACATCATTTGAATTGATAAAGGAGAAGCTAAGGGGGTGATTGTTCCCTGTTCTACATTCTCTGAGGCAGTAAGGGGAATCTATCATTTCAAGATGCAACTGTCCTTTAGCTGGGACAGAAGTAGACCCCAAATCAATGGTGATTGATCTGAACCATGAAGCTGCATTTAACGTTTGCTAATAGCAAATTCTAGCAAGAGAGAAATTATGTGGAACAGATGGAATCATGGGCAATGTATTCAGAGAAAACACTGTTGCTTTAGCACAGAATGTGTGCCAGTCCTTTACAGCCCTGTTCTTTTCCAACCTGGCTCTGCCAACTGCCCCTTTAACTGTGGGGTTATATAATTATAATTGCCTCTTGATTCAGCAAAATAAGTTCCCATGAAAATGTAATTCAACAGATACATTTGATGTCCTGTTAAGTTTGTAAATGCAGGATTTTAAGTGAAATATTGAGTGAAAACTGAATTTTTATAAATGAAACCTTTTAAAAAATGTAGTAGGGAACTTTCCTGTTTAAGGATATTTGTACAGTATAAACTCATGAACTTTTATCCTTTAAATCACTGATGTAAAATTGCATGAGTCTCTAGCTCCAGGACTTGAGCCAGAAGAAATGAGGATGGAGGATGAGAATTAAGGACAGCTGAAAGTTTTATGGCTACAATACGTCATGGATCTGTGATGTCAGTGATGTGCATGCTTCCTCCATTTGTCATCAGGCCTATACTGAAATCCATCCAGTTTGCAAGGAGTTCTAGAGCATGTTCTCTGCTGGCATAGCCTTTGAGAGCCCAGGGTGACACCTCCATGCTGTGATGAGAAACTGAAGTCAAACCTTGGTAGAAGAAAAAGTTCACGAAAACTTCAAAATACAACCAGCGGCAAACTATTTCTTCTCACTGCTGTCATCGGGAACACAAAAGACAAGCTCAGGTGAGCTCTTAAATATTTTTTTGTGGGCTTCACATAGCAAGTACTATATAAGTTTTGGGTATCATCATCATCATTATCATCTAGAACTGGTCATACTGGTGGATTTACAGAGTAGTTGTTAAGGGCTCATTGTTAATGTGGCAGAAAATCTCTAGTGAAGACCTCCAGAGATCTGGGCTTGATGTATTGTTTTACATTTTTTATAATTGACTTTTAGAGAAAGGCATTGATAGCATGCTCAACAGAAAATTCAGATGACTAAGCGAGGAGGGATAGCTAACACACTGAGTGGTAATGCCAAAATCAAAAAAGATCATGAAAGGCTAGAGTCTTGGGTTGAATCTAAAGATGCAATTTAATAGAGATAAATGTAAAGTCTTATATTTAGTTCCACATAGCTACTAAAATGATTTTTCTAAAGTGTCTGATCATGTCACTGCCCTGTCCCCTACACAATAAAGTCCAGTGGTTCTCTATCACCTCCAGGATCCTGTATCAAATCCTTTTTTGGGTCTTTAAAGCTCTTCACAGCGTAGTTCTGTGGTCCAGTCTTTGCACACTCTACTCTTTCACATCTACACTCTACAGTTGATTAATATTATCCTACTTTCTCTTTCTTGCTCACTACACACTATACCTCACCATGTCCTGGTACTGGCTGTTTCCTGTGCTTGGAGTGCTCTTTCTCCTCAATTCCACTTCTTGACATCTGTTGTTGTTTTTGTTTTTCCCCTAGCCTCAGCTCCAATACCACCTTTTGTTGGAGGACTTCTTGGTACCCCAGTCACTTGAGCCTTCCCTTCTAAGATGACCTTCTTTCTAGACTGTAACTATCTATTCTACATGTTGTCTCTCCCATCAGCACGTAAGCTCCCAAATGCTCACATGGACTATTTGTGCCTGACCTGTGGTAGAGCATTCCAACCTCATATTGGTCTGTAACACTGTAACTTGACTCTATCATGGTGATGTCATTTTGGTCCTCTTTGAGAAAAGACAACAACCAATCAAAAACTAAACCAACCAACTAACCAACCAGCCAAGCTCCTTGAGGACAGGCACTGTTTTTGTGCTTTTGTCTTCCTTTGTGTCCCCAGGGCCTGGGATATCAAAAGCACTTGGTCCCCAGTGGAGAGACTTTCTCAAGGTTACACTGGCTATAGTAAGTGCCATCCTGGGCACTGTGCCTTTCAATGAACCTGAGGTCATGTTAAGCCTTCTTGGTTTATCCCATTGTTGATTCATATTGAGTACAAGACTTCAGAATATATTTTCCCAGTAAGCAGAATGGAAGTTTCCTGAGCACAAGGAATGTTTCATTTTTATCTTCGCATCCCTAAAGCACTTAGCACGATGACTTGCACATAACGAATATTTATTGAATTAAAAGAGGGAGGGATAGTCTCATTGTATTTTGCCATTGTTAGATCACATTTGGGGCACTACATTTAGTCCTGGGGATTGGGATGGAGGGGGAGGGTGTCACATTTCAGGAAGCATATTCAAACTGGAGCACGGCTGCTAGCATGGTTAAGGGATTGGATCAGCTGAAAGAACTGGAGATATTTTGGCTCGGAGAAAACTTAGTGACTGATAATTTCAAGTGTTTGGGGAGCTGTCGTGGAAAAGATGGATTAAATTCCTTCTGCTTGGCTCTTCAGGGTAGAGCTAGGAGCAATGGGTAGAAGCCACAGAGAGGCAGATTTAGGCTGGAGGAAAGGAAAAATATCCTGATGATTAGAACTGTCCAAAAAAGGAATGAGTTTCCTTAAAGGGTTCGCTTTCACTGGAGGTCTCCAAGCCTCAAGCCAGGGGTGGAAAAATCATTTGTCTGGAATGTTGTAGAGAAAATTTTTGGTGAGACACAGACTGGATGAGAAGGTGCCTGAGGTCCCTTCCATTTCTAGAGTCTGTTAGCATTTGGAGAACTTCACCTTTTAATTTAGAATCCCTCTTCCTTTTGGACTCTGGGTAGGACAGCTTTCATGACTGTTAAAAATCTTTAGTAAATATGTCTCCTTGTTTGTTGCCTCACTTGATGCTGCTATACAGTGGATTTTTTTAAGCAAAATTATTTCTGTGGTTGTATCTGCTATGGAATCTTGTACACTTCTGACATGCGGGAGATGCTACATTTGATGATTTTAACCACTTGAGCATTTGAGCAGTTTAAGTATGTATTTTGCTTTACTGAGCAAGTTATTTTTATGAAATCAACTGGGATTTATAGTCTCTGTATCTCCTTGTCAGCCGTGATTATGAAAGCATGGTTTGCTGAAGAAAACAGTTGGCAAATGTTGGCTGTTCCTTTCTCATGTTTATATCAAGGCCTCTGATATCCTGAATATATCTTGTTCATAAATAGTTGTTTGCTTGTTGTCTCTCCCTCTTAGATCATGAACTACTTGAGAGCATGGATTGTCTTTTGTCTTTTTTTGTATCCCTGGCACTTAGCATGGTGCCTTGTACATTTATTCAATCGTATCTCTTTGTGACTCTATGGACATGCTGTCCATGGGATTTTCTTGGTAAAGATACTGGAGTGGTTTTGCCATTTTCTTCTCTAGTGGCAAACAGAAGTTAAGTGATTGTGTGTCTGGGTCACACAGCTAGTGTCTGAAGCCAGATTTGAATTCAGGTCTTCCTGAGTCCAGACTCTATTCACTGAACTATCTAGTTGTCACCTTGTACATAGTAGGCACTTATATTTGTTGACTAATAGTAGCTCCACGGACCATTCTAATAAAGATTTCAGAGAGAATAGATGAGGAAATAGGTATGAATCAGAATTGGCTGATTTCTTCTGGGTCACTTTATTTTCTGCTAAAATATCATCTATTATTTTTTTTTTGTTTGTTTTCTCTTTCTTGACATAACTTGAAAATTGACTTTTGAGGATCCTTAAAACTGTGTCCCCTGTAGCAGAGGTTTATTCTGTATTTGGTAATGTTGTTGCTTTCCAATCTTTACCTCCTTCAATGTCACTGCCACATTCTCACAGAGTACATAGGGTACCTAACATTCATGGTAGAGTGCAAATATGTTAGTTCCTCTAACTCTGTGTATTAGAATAAATTGCTCTAAAATACCAGCAGATCTATTCCATCTTTTTATTATTCTTGTTCCAGTTCCGTCCGTGAATGTACTAAAGATGATCTAGTTTAATTGGATCTTGTCAAGTTCTCTGTAGGCATCTTTCTTTGTCCTCAAGTGCCTTTTTTTTTTTTTTTTTTGCTGTTTTGTAGGAGATATTGCTCAAACTCTTCCATCATTATCTTTTAAAATGTTCGCAAAATAAACTTGCACTCTAACCCTGTATTTGCCCTTTACAGTCACATTTCTCTGCTTGGCAAGGAGAAAGAGTGTTTGCTTGTGGTGGTTAGGGTGGCCTTTTGACTCCCTTGTTGTGGTGACTTTTGGTACTGGTTAAACTTCTCTAAGCAATAGTCAATGCCATAGTCAAGTCAACAAGCATTTAGTCAGTGCTTAGTATTGTGCCAGGCACTGTGCTAAGGACTGAGAATAAGCAGAGAGGAGACAACATACAAAAGGATGCTGAAAACAGGGAAGGTGAGGGAGTAGCAATGATGGAATGATGAAGGGCATGGTAGGGAAAGTCCAGAGAGTCAGCAAGTATAGCTTGAAGAGGAATGAAGGACCTCCTCCTTAAAATGGAAGCTCTGGAAGGGACCAATCATCAGAGGGAGAGAGTATAAATGTCATGGGAGTAGTCCAGTTGCTGGGTACTTTCAGGGTGAAGAGGTTTCTGTATAGTATGGTAGAGAGGCTTTTGGAGATGAGTCAGGGGTACAGACTGGAGATGAATAAAGACATAGCTGGCCTAGGGCTCCTCCTTAAAATTATCTTTACTATTTTATCTATTTCTTGTTCTCTCTCTCTTATGAGTTGAAAGTTTGTTCAAACACGTCAGGCCAGAGCCACTCAAATTTTTCTTTGGTGCAGTCTTATCTTTTACCTATTCTAAATTGGCATTGATTTTGATCTCTGCTTTAACCAGTCAAAACTACTGTATACAGACAGCTGATTTTGAAGTCATCTCCTATCTGTTAATATGCAGTCAATTTCATTTTTAAAAAATGATACTGTTCAGAACTTGTGATGTTTCAGTACCTTCTCATTTTCTTCTTGAAGAAAATATTCACAATTTGAAACTTCTGAGCAATATAACACTTTTGGCCTCTCATTTCTTGATCACAAACACTATAGTACAAGTTTTTTTAATTGATATATTTTTTTTGACATCCAATACAAAACCTCAATGTACTTATATTTGAATCTTTCCTAATTAATGAATGGATAGGAATTTAGTTAGCATTTGCTATATATTAAGCAGTGTGTTATGCACTGGGGTTACAAAATGAAAAGCAAGACAGTCCCTGCTCTCAAGGAACTTAGCTGCTTTAACGTCATTCCAAAATCTTATCTGTTTTGGATGTTGAATCGTTTGACAGTGTCAACGACTTTGGTGGGGAGGACTTTCTTTCCCAAATCTTCAATTAGCTGTGGTTGCCAATGAGGTGGAGGCTTCAGTACCTACACAGGCAGTTGCCAGGTCATATTTTCACAATGGTTGATTCCTTGGATGATGGTTGTAGGAGGAAGGTTGGGTTGATGTTCTGGGGTGTGAGGGAGGGAGCTGTTCTTCCTGGGGTTCTTGGACTTACCTGCCTATTAGTGGTAGTTGGTGTTGATAGTGATGAGAGATTAAGCCCCTCTTCCACAGGAGTTGCTCCATTGACTGATGACTGCAGTGGCTAGGCTAGAACAGAGGTGACTGGCATGGGGACACTATTATTCCTGAGGTTCTTGGGCTTCTGTCCATCAGTGGCAGTTGGTGTTGGGATAACATACAAGAGTTGCCTCCTTTAGTGATGGTTTATAAGGGCTGGGCTGGAAGCAGGTTATGGTCTGTGGGGTGCTTCCATCTCTGGGGCTCTTGGGCAACAGGGCTCAAAGGGAAGAAGTCATGGTGAAGGTGT